GGGGGGGGAATCTTACTCTGAGACGTTGTGAGCAACAATAGAAGGGGGAGGTAGGATTTCCACTTGGTTTGTATTGGTAAATCAGTACAGTTTGGACTGCCACGTTAAGTGTTTAACCAAATTTGTGCAGTTTAAATTTCAAGTTTGATTAATTTTACTGGCAGTAGTCTTAAAAGGTGAACCTAACTGAAGATATGTCACAAGCTTAGTTTATATGCTGAATGCTGTCACTAGGTAATGATTACATGATCAGGTAACGATCAGGGCAAGAGTTTTTTTCTTTCGAGTATCCAGTAAAATCTATTGCTTTCAGTGCCTGTTACACGGTTAATTTTTGGGTAGCTGTGCACTTGGTGGAATTCAAGAGTGCTTTCTTAAGAAAAATTGTATTGGGGGGAGAGGGAGAAATCAACCCTCTGCCATGTGTTCACACCAAAGTATACCTGCAGTTTAACAGGGATTAGATAAACAGATGAAAGCTGTTATAGGGACACATTTGTACTAGTTTAAAATTAACTTTAAAGAACAAATCAGCTTGTGTCATTAATCTGTGTAAAAAAGGATCTTGAACCTTTTTAAGTAGTATCCAAGTTATACTAGAAACTGTTTTAAAAAACAAAACGACTGTCCTCACCTTTTTGAGCTTGCGAATTAAACTAGCTCATTAATAATCCTAAATCTCACTGAAGAGGAAATGGAACTGGATTAATATCCTGTAAACTGCAAGAGCTAAATTATCAATGTTAAATTCCTAATGCCTAGCAGAAATACCACAGGTTTCAGTTCAGCCATTTATTGCCAGGCACTGCTCAATTTCTTCCAGTGAAAAGAAAGCATAATTTGATTTATGTACTTGCAACAAAACATAAATAGTGAAGCCATCTTCACAGAGAGATACGTTTCTTTAAACAGGTTACTGGCAAAGCAAGTTCCACAATCTGGTTGGCCAAACCATCCAATGCAAACAAGATAAATTCAAATTAAACTGGTGCAAGAATTTAGTTGTAAGAGAAAAAACAGATTCATTTAGAAAAGCTCATTTTTCAGTATTATTTTGTTTGCTGACTCCAAGTTCCAGTGAGCAAAATGGTTTTATACTTATTTTGGGGGCAGAGAGAAGCTAGCTTGTTAATCTGGCTATGTACTACTTCTATATCCTTTCTATTTCTTTCTCTTAAAAAAAAAATAAAAATCAAGGAACAGATTTATCATTTAGCAAGTTATCAGACTCAGAACTCAAAAAGCACTAGTAATTCTCTCCCCCACTGGAAAGCTGTATTGTATTGCGTAGCTTCATGTACATAAAGTTGTATCTTGCAGAAATATAACCACTGACCAAAATTTCTTACTATGTTACACTTTGCATAAAAGCAGACATGAAGTTAAACTGCAAGTCAGCCATTGTACAAATTGTCTCTCAAGATGTTCCAGTAACATTTCAATTAGAGCTTTAACTCCTCAAGAGTTACACAACCTACAACATATAGCTATTGTTCAATTCAATTAAAACTCAGACAGAAAAAGGTGTCCTGTTTGTGACGAAACCACCATCTATCCATCAGCTTTTATCACACTTCAGACTATCAGAAAGTGAGTAAAAGTGGAAAAGAGGAAAAGTGGAAAAGAGTTTCCACTAGCATCCAATTAGTTTCCTATGACCTTGAACACTTACAAAATGCTTTTCATTAAATGACAGGTAAGAGAACAGAGTGAAAAAAAAATATCAGTCTGTTAAGGAATTTGGTCCTCATATTTAGGACCCTGCATTTCCTTCAATAGATACTATGCTTCATGTTGTTTTTTTTTTTTTAAAAAAAAAACCTCACATGCCTATTATGAATCATTGCAATAAAAATACTACCTTTTTTTCCCCACACTGTGCTAGGCAACTTTCTTTCCAGTCAAAGATGATGAATTTAGTCAAGAATCATAAAAAAAAAAAATTGAACTATGAATTCTGGCACAGTCAGGAGTAGCAACTCAACTACTCCAGAGTGCTTAGAAAATAGGCTTTAGATTTTACACCAAGAAATTGGATTTATTGTAAATGCCACAGTCACATTGATAGACAGAGCACAGACTTCTGGTAACAAACAAACATACATTTTTGTAACTAAGTGTTTCTACTTGGTAAATAAATGCATTTTGCACAGCCTTCCTTTTAAATGTGCCTAAACTAACCTAAATAAGCAGACAGCATAGCAGAAAAGGGAAACTTATGTAACTGTTTCTTAAGCAGTATATAATATTTTATATTATATACACACACATTTTCATCAACAGTTCAAATTATACCCAAATGAAAAAAACAAAAACAAAACAACAAAAAACCCCCACCCCCAAACTGGCGCTCCTCCAATACATTTACCACCTTTCCCTCAGGCATAGTTAATTCAGGTATTTGTCAAGATAGAGGAATGACAGTTAAAAAGACTCCCCCCACAAGAAACAAGTTACACAAAGAATACTGTATCACTACAAATTTTTTATTCAGAAGCCCATCTTTAAAAAAAATCTCATTATGAACTTGTTTGGTCAAACTACAACACTTTCTAGCAGACATACAGTAAAAATGGCATGGCTCAGAATCGACCAGATCTTTCACGATCTCTTGACCGCCTCCTATCGCGTTCACGTCCTCCTCCTCCACCACCTCCACGACCACGATCTCTGGATCTAGACCGACGTTCACGGGATCTCGACCTGGATCTATGCCTTCAAAGAAAGTATGAACATTTTACTCTTTCATCACATTCAGATATTTACTTGCAGTACTACGCAGTGGAACACTTAGGGATCTAAGTAATGAGGGAGAAGACAAGATAATTTTTTCAAATTAGAAAGGACTGCTAAATCAGCACTCAGGCTGCAAAACCATGTAATGACCAGCTGAACAAACTTAATGCCAAGGACTCAACATACCCTGCTAAAACACTCAACTGTTCACTACCAGTCACCCATTACAATGGATGTGCAAGACTTCAGGAAAGGCATGTAGAGGAACCAAATGTGCTGTTACACAGCTGTTAAAGAAGCAAGAGAAGGGGACACCTGCTCTTGCAGTTATGCAAGTTATGCTCGTAACAACACACAGCAAAAGCCTACAGCTGTTTCTAAGTCCACTCCTATTAAATCAACTGCATTAATTAGCAATGACAACTCAGTTATCTTTTTTTTGGGATTTTTTTTTCCTTTGGTTTTTACTTTGATGTTTCATTCTGTGTAGAACTACTTTCAAGTCAGTCTATTTCATATGACCTACCTTTGAAACTCCACTAACACAACAACTGATTTTTTTTTTTATATCAAGGATTACTGCTAACCTGTGACACCTTTAGCTGCACAAAGAATTTAAATAGGGCCAATAAAGACAAAACTGGATGGAGGATTCAGCTCTTTGTTTGTTTTACCACAGACTGAAATTGGGCTATGGGTAGAACAATCATATTACAAAGCCAAACACACAAATCTGACCTTTCTTGCAATAAAAGGTGATACATTTTAATTAGCCTTATTTAGTCCAAGAGATCCAGATTCAGACCAGGAGGCTAACACAAGAACATACTTTGTCTTTTTCATGGATCATTCAAACATCTTAAAAGCTTACATTTAAAGTTTAAATTAATATTAATTGGGATATTTTAGGAAAGTATTTAGCTACAAATACATGTGCCTAAGCAACGCAATCTACTTTTTCCAAAAGTTAAATTCATCCTCACTAATCCTAAGACACTGCCAATTAAGAGACATTTATAGGAAAAACACGTTCACAATCCCAGGCTCCTGCTGTGGTAGAAAGACACCTACAAAATTCTGCTCTATATAAACGGAAACTCAACAATTTTATATGCCTAATCCTAAATAGCAAGGTCCTAAAAGCAAGCAGATGGAATCCAGCTCAAAGTGAACCATCCACAAGACAGATATGATAGTAACAGCAGTGGCATAAGCCTTTCCACAAGGCACCTTAATACATAAATAATTTAATATAAATATATAATAAAATGTATTTATCACAGTCTTCTTCGCTATTAAGCAAAATCACTATTCCTTTGCCCTACTGAGAATTCCTATCAAGAAGGGTCACACTGTGAGGCCAGTGCTAATAGAAATTGCCTGTTATTAATACTAAGGAAGGAATACAGGCTAGAGAAGTTAGCCATTAACTGTTAAAACCAAATAAGGTTTAATATTGAATATAAGCTATAGATACACTTGATTGCACGTAATGCTGAGAGTGGCCAATATGATCCTGCCCAAGCACCCACTAGCCAAGTAGCCCGCTTCTCACAGCGGCCCCAAGCAAATATGTTCAGAAGACTATAAAAAAAGACAAGAGCCATAAAGCAATACTTCTAAATAATGTCCACCTCTAACAGTTCACAGTTTGGAGATTTGAACCACAGGCAGGTGTTATGCACTTAGTAACTCAGTGAATGTTCCTCTCCTTGAACCCTGCCTTCCCTTCTCTTAAAGCCACATCAACTTTCAGCATCCACAACACCGCAGAACAAGAAGCACCACAATTTTTTAAATTATTTTTTAAAAAAACAAAGACCTATTCTTCTGTCCTAAACTGTACACTCAGTACCTTTACTTGATGCCCTTTCCTTGGCATGTGTCAGAACTGCGTTAGGAAAAACAAGACAGTTTAAAGGTTTGCCTTCAGAATTTTCAGCAACTGATCCTTAATTTACCTGTTTTAATCGTGTTTAAAAGCACACTTACTTTTTACGACGACGCCCATACAACTCGCGTCTTAACTCTCGAGAAATGGGCTTCAAATGCATGAAGTTGCAGAAACCGCCTCGTGTACACTCTCTGAAACAGAATTCAAGAGACACAGTTGAAACTCCCAGTTCTACACTGCATCTGTTTGCCCTATGCCCTAGTGGGCCCTCCAGCCATCTAAAAAGTTAACCACCTCCAACATTAAAACTAGTAAACTGCAAGCATCATTTACTGACACTGACTCACTCCTAGATCAAAATCCTAAGAAGATGGCAAAAGTCAAGAGCCTGACTGCAAGTCCTCCATAGTAACATTACCTGAAGTGGTTTTCCTCCTACACTAAGCCACCCATGAAAGCCACACCCAAGCAGCCACCCTGTCTGTGCAAACATTTCAAAGATACTGCCATAGGCAAACAGGAAGTCACTTTTTACCCCATTTCGTATTGACGGCAACAGGCCTCTCTGAAGTCAGTCACAGGTGAAAGCTCAGCATGAATGGGCTGTCCATTAAACCAGCGATTGTTCAGGTCAATCACAGCCTTTTCTGCATCTTCTTCACGGCGAAACTAAAAGCAAAATTAACATTTTCTCATGTTACAGTGAAGCAACAGAAGTAGATCGAAGATTTCTATCAAATCAGTTGCATGGTATATGAGGCTTAGGATTAGTTGTCAAACTAGAAGCTACTTCAGAGTTCCTGGGACTGTTCATCAAACCCAGGGTAAAGATCCTAGCTTTTCATTAATCAGGACTCGGGTAATCAAAACATTGATATTTTCTCTTAATTATGTTCTATTTGTTTTTTCAAGTTTTGTGGCTTGTATTAAAAGACGCTAGAAGATACTGTGTTTTCTTAGCACAACTTTACACAAAGAGAATGCTTAAGATTACTTTCTAGAACACTAATGCTCCACATTTAATGGATTTTTAAAAATATTTAAGAGAAATCTGCATGAGAACTGAAGCTCTCATTTCTTTAAATTAGAATTTACAAAAATCTGATCCTGTTTTACGATGAACGTAAAACTTAAATTCAAAATTCCTTTTCACAGCTAACTACTTGCAAATTTTTAAAAACAACTTTTATTTGGATTATGATTATTTCTGATTATTAAAATTTTAGGCATGAAAGTACTTTCCAGTTAAGGGAAAGTACAGTAAAAATATTAAAACTCTCACACATCCCCAACACTGTGTACACACAATAGAATTTCTGCAGATGTACTCATTATTCAAGAGATACCAATGAATTTTAATGCTAAACATTAAGTGCTCCAGTTTGCACCTTAAACCACTCAGCTACTGTCAAATGTAACTCGGTTACAAGATGTTTGCTTTAACTGGGAAGTTAGAAAATAAATGCAGCTGCTGAAAATAAACACACCTGCTGCGAGTAAAACCCTACTCATAATGAAGTGCTTAAAAAGCAGTGTGCTGGGAAGACAGACCCCAAATTAATCGTGGCAAACTGAACAGTCCAGCAGCGGTGACTGTGATCATAACAATGTAAAAAAAAGTGTTAATCTATGAAAACAACTATCAAGAAAGCTTCTCAATCTCTGAAATTCTTTCTGATTCCATTCATATTTTCACTGTACTTTGTATTGTTAAACTGGAGAGCAGCTTATATCCTGAAGAGCTACTCTTGCAAAATCTACAAGCATCCAGTAGCTTTTAAAATGATAACTTAATAAATACCAGCCCTACTGATGATATAAACATGTCCCTTTTTATCCTACCTTTACGTATACATTTCCAACTAGATGATCTCCAAGGTTATCACAAACGTTCATCTCCTCGACTTCGCCGTATTTCTCTTCCATTTCTGTGAAGACCTCCTAAGCACAAAGCAATCAATTAAAAGTTTGCAGCACATGAGTTATAAGTACAGAAGTCTTGCAGTTAGCTGTTAGCAAGCACAAAGGAAGGCCTTCCTTAAAAAAAAAGCAAACAAAAACCTTCTTTTTTTTTTACATTTCTGTACATTAGTACTTGTTTGGCCTGTACTGTGTCCATCTGTAAGTACAGCACTAACCATATACAATAAAGGGCAATGGAAAACATTATGCATACGTTATTTACAGAATACCCAAGATGCACTGAAAACACTACACATATGCCTTGATGCTATAGTTTTCCTTAATTTGCTTCTATACAAATAATTAAATATAATCTAAATTTACAGGAAAGAAGAGGATTATGGAATCAAATTGCTACATCATTTAAGTTGCTGCTTTTTAAACAAAGTCTATTATAAAAAGCAAAGTTAAAGCCAAGCTAACCAAAGGTTATGCCAGGAAACATTTAGCACTGAAAGTTTTATATGAACACCTGAGGAAACAAATGCTTTTCTTTGAATCCATTTAATTATGGTATACACTGAATGTATCCAACTCATTTGTGTTGACAAATCCACAAACACTTTAATGCATTTTTAAGTCTTTTGCGTACCTCAAAGAATTCATCATAATGTTCCTGCATCTCAACATCGCTCACAGCACCTGTAAAAATCAAGAGTCATATCGATTAGAGTCTATAAATAAGGAAGATTTTGATCATACTACAAAACAATCTAGAGAGGCCGTCTGGAGCATAAAAGACACCATATAGCATGGAGCTAACTAATAGGAATATTAAAAATAAGCTTTGAGTCCCCAAAGTATATGTCAAAACATTACATTGACATGATCTAATCAAAACAAATTTTAATGAGAGCCAAACTTGTATGCCACAAATTTAAAGGAAGGGGAATTACTTTGAAGTATCACTTAAATTTAATGTACAGTCCCACCATCTATCTACCAACAACTTTACCTAAACAGAAGGCAAGTGCTTTGTTACATTTGCATATTTTAAAGCATGATTACAATTTAGTGTTCCTCTTCCTAAAGGCAGAGTTTCATTTTAACATGTCCACCTCTCCACCATATACACTAGAATTTGAGAGCTCACAATGTAACATAGCCCAGAATTTTTTTAATTTGCTCAAAATAGTTATTGAAATGACACACTTTTCTCAGTGCCCTCAAAGAAAGGTACCATAATGCTTTGCAATAGAGAGCAATTTTCTAGTTTAACTTTGAATATCACTTAATTTTTCTGTAGTCCTGCAGAACACCTTTTAGTGCAAGACAAGCCAGCCATATATTCAGGTTAGGTTATTTTCATGCTCCAAGCTGGACTTTACAAATGAGTGCTGCTTGCCTGCTGCTATAAAAAAAAAAACCACACAAGTTTGTCTGATTTTTCAAAGCATTAAGAATATAAAAATGAATTTCATTTATTTTTTCCAGTCTATAGCATTTTAAACTACATTAAGCTGTGTACATTAAAGCCTAATGTATTAACTCTTCAGCAGTTAAATGGTTTATTAAGATCAAGCGGAGCAGTTTTAAAATGAACCCTGCATTTTATGCTAGAAAAATATTCTAGCTTTAAATTACAAACACTACTGTTTTAGTTCACAGAACGTGAAAGACAAGAGACTGAGTCAAGTAAGCTGAGTTTATTCACTTCAGGCTGCTATGAAGCAAAGAGATGCTTTGGGCTCAGTAATTTTTGGCTAATATTACCATCTGGATGAACTTCATGTTTTCCTTCCGAGGCCCTAATATTAACCAGCCACACTCTCTGGAACTGCCATTACTTTTCTCCCACCCAGCTCACCTCCAGAAGGCAGCTAAGGGGTATTTGTTATATAGTTTAGGCTAACAATGTTTCTGCATTTGAAACATGTTTGCTTTTAAAAAACTTTCTTCTTCCCCACTGCTGCCCCATGGTTATATAGCAAACTACAGAATATCAAACATTAAACCAGTATTTCTAGACAGTTTAATACTTAACTATATTCCCAAGGTTCTGCCAGCACCACTGATAACATCTTACTAATACCTAGGGATTTTTTATTTATTTATTTATTTTTAAGATATCAGGCAGGGGCTCTGTAAGCCACACTGGGAATAACTACTTCTTAACAGATGGACGAGTGCTAAAAACTTGTAAGGAGATTTCATTGTCAAATTAGGAGATCATAAGCAACAATTAGTTAATGACTACTTGAATGTCCTTCTAAAGTGGGAAGCATACATATGCACAGGCTTTACAAACATTCATCTTCCAGGGCTACCGGTATCTGAACCTTGAGAAGCCCAATTACTAATTACAATACTCAGGAAAACTATTGCTGTTCAAAACTAAGGTTAATCCTCTACGACGGCAATAGAAAGGAAGACAGTTAAGCAACAACAACAAAAGCATTAAATAGCTACCCAAGTTATCCATTTAAAATACATGCAGTACTTAAGTAGGGACAAATATCAGAACACCAGGGAGGCAGGAGTTTCAGCAAACCTACTGGTAACAGAGCTCCAGCTCTACCACAGGAGGTAGAGTCGGGCTCTGCTGAACAGCTACCCGCTTGGCAAGACAAACGGGAGTTGGACACCAGCGTTTAGAACACTAGAGAACCTGCTCAAGGCTCTTGCAGCTGTACAATCTAAACAGCTCCACAGACCAAACTGCTGTAACTGTGCAAATTAGTTACCAGCGCATTGAGGATTCAGGGACAGAGTGGAAATACCCAACCGTAATTTTTAAGTTTTGTTTGTTTACTGGAACAGCGTTAACCACTAAAGCATCTGCAACAAGAAAGCCTACCAACCAGTGGTGGAACTGTTTAAGCATCTAGGCAAACTTACATTGCATTATCACGTATCTAGTTTGATTGTGCGACAAAAAAGTCAAAGTTACTTGATTGGGCCATTATTTGCTTTCACAAACAGAAGAGACAGCGTTGACTTTTAATTTACTGGCTGATTTCACAAAGCATGTCTAATCAAATGCTGGTAACTAATCTGAACTAGTCTATAATCCAACAGTCAAAAAAAAGGAATAGCCAAACAAAGCTTTATTACCACACAGTCAATATTCACTTCAACAAGAAATATTAGTTAGAAAATAACACCGATCCTTTTTGTTTCTAAACTTTTTTTTTTTTTTTAAATCTTACTCTAATATTGATGATTCAATCACAATGGTGTATCAGTAATCGCCGATCAACAACCCTGGTCTTTTAACTTTTGCCAGTCTCACAGTAGGTGTGTTTTCTTATGCCCATTCCTACCTCATGAAGAGTCATTAAATTAGCTCAGGACCATACCCAAATGCCTTCTCCTCCTCAAAAGTACTTTTAAAGATATTATTTTCCTAGGTAAATATGCAACTTGGTTTTGGAATTTGAGTTTTCAAAGCATGGAAGGAATTTTAAGCATGCACCTATCCAAAAAGGACAGCTGCCAGAAGGGAAGCATTTGTCAAACCATATTCTTCCAAAGTAGACTCTAAACGGAAGCTGCATTAACCTAGGAGAAATTTCTGCATGCAGGCTGAAAAATTTAAAGTTCAAGTTCTCTTAACATTTACAGAGCAGGAAATCTGTTCTGGATGAAGCCAACATGTCATTGTCCTGCCTTTTTTTTTTTTTTTTTTTTTTTAGGAAGTGGAACCTAATGGGTAACACAAAACATACAGAAAAAGCATTCCTAGGATTCAGGCAACTGGCCGGGAGAAAGGCAGAGGGAGGAAAGCAGTGCAACCGAGACTGCTTTACAGGAGAAGTACAATTTCAACCCTTTTTGATTTAATAGATAGTATTCAGATTCCCCTCATAGTTTTGGGAGTAGGGAAAAAGGCGAGTGGGACAAAAAAAAGGGGGGTTTTGTTTGGTTTTGGGGTTTTTTTTTTGGTGTGTTTTGGACACATTTAATGAAACGTGGTCAGTTTGATCTGTTAAACTAAAATGGTAGACCAGCTTAAGTCGACACTGAGCTCTGACAATCAAGCCCAGGGAACCAGTGAAGGAACTTGTATGAACTTACAGCGCAAACCGTCAGCAGACTGGGAAGAGTTTTGAGGGTTACGGTAAATGTTCAAGAGGGCAATGGTCTGAAATACAAAACGCAACAACTTTATATTATGGAAAATAATTTTAACAAGAAACTGGTTTCCTTTAGGGTCGCTTTAGCCGAGTCTGTGCTGAAAGAGAGGTGGTTATTCTCTCCCAAGGAGAACTTTCACTTTGCTGGTGATCTTTCTGAATCAACCTAACACTGTAAAGTAATAGAGATCTCATGATACCCCATTATTGTATTTTTAATTTTATTCACCAACATTACTGTAGAGGGGTTTTGAATTACTTCAGGCAGATGTGCAATAGGTGGCATCCAAACACAGTATTCAAATTACAAGCATAACAATTTGTTTGAATTTGGTTTTACTGAATGGTTTCTTAGTAGCACAACCCCAGGAAAGCAATACAATAATTACAGCATAACATGAAATCTCCATTTTCCTAAAAAAGTTAAGATGAAAGAAAACCCACAGTCTTGGGAAACTTACCGTGCATCATATATATACACACACCTAATTTTTTATTTTTTTTCCTTTTTTTTGTTAAATCAAGAATTTGAGAAATGTCTGCAGTTTAACCCTTTAAAAAGAATGCAGTGTTACTAAGCAACCAAGTCTCACTTTGCAGCGCAAAAGAGAACCTGCATCAAGTCCAATTTACGCAGTCAGCTCTGCATTCCGATTCGCAGACATCTGACAAGCTCTTGATCTATGCGCAAGAAGAGTTCCATCACTTGTCCTGTTTGCAACAGCTTTATGTCAGCAGCTCAGAAGCCAACATTATTTTCTCATAATTAGGAGTGGGCTCTTTAACACCATTCTTTAAAAAAATTTCTCCAACTGTGGGACTTACAGTGTGAGCCGTCAGCCGTCTGTGCACTGTTTTGGGGGTTACGATAGATGTTTTGAATCAAGATGGTCTGCGGGGAAAAAAAATAAAAAGGGGAATTCTACTGGCTGCTGTGCATATAATAGACAATTGCAAAGAGACAACTTGTTTGCAAACAGCTAAAAGTAATATTTTATGCTTAAGACTTCCTTTTGCATCTGCAGAATATCTTCTAAAATTGCATCCAGACCATCATATTATGAAAACAGGTTTAATTAACCACCAAGAAAGAGCTGCATTTGTCTCCACAGCTATCCTCAATATGGGAGTCATGAGGCACAGTAACCTAGAGCGTCACGCTACGTGATGTTATGGAGATGCCTATCTTTCGAGATCAGATTCGTTCTTGGAAGTCTAGGGGCAGGGGGGGAAAAATAGTGTTATGTGCACAGCATATAATACATAATGCCACAGAGTCTCACATGTTACACTGGACAGTAAGGTTTTTAGGGAAGAGCTACGTCTCATTTTGTGCATCAGGAATTTCTTGGTGGAATTTCTGTTTAAATAATATAATAGCATCATGGGTTCACATGTTTCCGATCCTTCAAATAAGGACAATATCCTTTTAGCCCTTCTGCTTTTTACTTGAAGAATTAGCCCAGGCAGACTTGAAACCTTACATTTGTACCGTTCTTCTTAAAATCAAGTTGTCTGAAAAAACAAACCATGTTTAAGTTAGTAAACTAATATTACAAAAAAATTCCAAATGTCCATATCACTGTAAGCAGCTCAAAAAATTGAAATTTGATTACTTAAAATACAATCTCAATGGTAGTTAGTATGAATCGCAATCCCCAAATAATTTTAGCTTACACATTATTACTAGTCACAGTTAAGAATTCAGAGCTTAAAGAAGTCACAGGACCGGCAACGTCACACCTACATATGCTGCCCACTTAACACGTAAAAATAAATAGGTCTGTAACATCACATTTCCCAATCACACACTTGTTTTATAATGGGTACGGTCACACCAACCAAGTGCTTCCGTGGCCCAGGTTTAACATAACTATGTTTTAGCCTACAATCAGAGAGACAGAAACATGCATGTAGTTACAGTGTTTCTGCTGATTGGTGGCAATTTGATCACCCTGGATTGTATGACCTTTCCTAACACAGCTCTTCTATAGAGGAGCTGCACCAGCAATAGCAACACAAGGTAAAAATATTGTGCCGGTAACTTCCTAGCAGTAAGATATCTGTTCTTCTGTTTTCTATCACAGCTGATTATCAATCTGCATACAAATAAAGATTTCTGTAGTGAACCCTACACGTCCCTCAGGTCCGTTTGAGATGTTACAACACTGTACACCTGCCAGGTGCGATGCAGGAGCGGTCCCAGGCACCGCTGGGTGAACCTGGCATGCCCTGCTGACCCGCTTCAGCTGGCACTGCTAACTGCAGGTTCCAAAGCAAAGCTAAATCCTGCACTGACAGAGGAAACTGTTATTGCAGAGAAGTTTTTTTGGTAAAAAAAGATGTAGGATTTTTTTTTTGGTGGGGCAGGGGATGTGGTGGTGGTTTGGGGTGGATTTTTTTTTTTTTAAATTGAATATTAAATTTCCAGAAGTGGAAACCTCTTTGTAGATGAAGTACCAGACTGACTGGTTCCTACCAATCAGTAAGTAACCTCGACAGCCCGGCCCAGAACTACCCTGCTCACTCACGCACTTGCAAAATTTAACTTCACAAGCACCGTCGCTCTGAACTCCAGCCACATGGATAGTTCTTGCCTCCCTAGTTCTCCCCAACCCAACACCAGCCCATCATTCTAATCAACCCCGCTCCAAGTCAGCTAAAATGAACTTGCAGAGGACTCCACTGCTATGTAAACTTTACCTTTGTAGGTAAAACTGCTGATAATGCAACAACTTCCATAAGCACTACTTATCACAGACAATACTCCCAAAGAAATCTATTTACCTGTACACCTTGACAATCAGCAGTGATAGAAAAAGGCAAAGCATCCAGTTCTCCAGGAATGTAATTTGTGAAAACTACAGAGCTCACAATAATAAAAACCCTACCACACACTGCACCTTTTTTTTGGCAGACATGCAGTCACACATCACGTCTCTAACAATATTCACAATAGCCAAAGATTAAATCATCTGTCAAGTGACATACACACCCTCAGCAACCAGGCAAGTTCTTTTCAAGGAACAATTCTTTCACATTCAAAGCAAATATGTAAGTTACTCTTGAAACTTAAGAGCCTGGGTCAGAGAGCAAATACAGCGACAGAGGAGTTGCTTTGATTTATTAATTGGTTTTCTTCTATTATATGCATAAAGGACTTAAGCTCACACCTTGGAGACAGGTGGAACATGCTGCCATTGTTTGTGATTTAAAAAATCTGGGATGGTTCAAGTGCCTAAACACCACTGAGAAGGCACACTCACCTGAAAGTTAGCACTGGTTGGTCTCTACTACAGGCAAGCTTACAACAGCATCGCTTCCTGCAGCCATTAAGGGTGACAGGAGATAATTAGAAATGCTGGGAGAAGTAAACCGAATACCCCCAAAAAAGTAAAACCCCTTATCAACTGGGGCCAAAACTGAACTAGTTAATCTGGTGCTCAGTAATTATTCACTTGTATCTGAGAATCTACGTTTTAAAAGCAAGAATATACTTCCACAAGAAAGAGAAAACAAAAGGAAAACAAACCTGGCTAAAAGTTGGTTTGTTGTGCAACCGAGAACATCTGTCTCCATGACGACAAGCTCCAATTTTGAAATAAAATGAACAGTTGACTCTGCAAGTAAAAAAAACCCAACAAAGTAGTTACATATTGGAACAGAAAGACATTAATATGCAATTCCTATAAAACATATACCCTAAATGCCTTTATCTTGATGTGGGGAAGTAACTTTAAAAAGAAAACAGCCCAGTACAGGAAAGCATCACAGCAAACCTGCTCATGTTCATTCCGCTTTACCCCTCATTTACAGGAAGTCATCTAATCAGTTTTACCCCTTACTCAAAACCAAAGTGCATTCACGACACCACCACAGATAGAAGCGATCACTACTACTGTTTTACCCTTCTGGTTCTCCATTCTTGTCTTTCTACGTGTTTCACTGGCTGATGGGATAGGAAATAATGTGAAAAACAGTCTGAAAAGTTACCCCACAGGCTATATGGTTGTGTTTTAGTTCATGCAACCCCCTAGTCTAGACAATACAACCTGCTTTAAAGGTGGTACAGTTGTACCTACCTAAAGTCTTATAAGTCACCTGCTTAAAGTTACACTCTATGAGTAACTCAGACTGCTGCCAACACAGTATTTGAAATAATTCAGATAAAAGAAAAAAATCACGTTACAGAGAGAATACACATCGACAAAATAAATTCAATTAATTAAGCCATTTCCATGAATGTAGGTAAATTTGAAAGGAAGCATTTAATTTTTTTTTTTTAAAACCACAAACTTTTCTTGATTTAACCATCATCTAATGACATCTTCAAAACTATTCAGGTTTAGGAATGCCAGTAAAACTCTCACATATAAGTGTAATTCACATGGAACGATGAAAGAAAAACATAAGGCGTTTAGTTACCTTGACTGGGAAAACCAAATGCAAAATTCTAAAGGGCAAGAAAACTATTATGGGCTATATATGGGTAAGTGAAATATAAGAATTCTCCTGGAAGAAAAATTATTATTCCCATGCTCATAGTTGACAGCAATTCTTTCCACAATCCTACGTAACCAAAATCAGCTCATGGAAGGGAGAGATATTAAAGCACTAAAGCATACCTGATCTCTAACAAAACGTTCTGCTGTAAAACTGTAACATGATTACTCTTCATTACGTTTTTGAAAAACAGATACTTAGCATTACAATATACTTACTGTCATTTCTGAACTCTACCCTGAAACAAAAAAAAATAAATCTAACTATAAAATTTCCAATAGTGCCTCCAACTTCCAACATTTTCTGGAGAGTTCTGCTTGCTTTTTGAACAGAAAATAAGACCGGTACAGGAATTTCGTGCCTGCTGTGTTGGCATACACTGTTAAACTGTAACGCACTCTATCAGAAAGGATGCTAGAGCAAGAGAGGCTGCGACATGGCTTTTGTGACAGACGAGCCAACTGGAACTGGCACTGGCATGCAGCACTACAAAGCAGAAGGAGAACAGAAGCCTCACGGCCAGGGGCTGACAAGAGCAATTTAGTCCAGCAGCACATCGATGCCCCCTTTTCATTTTTACGAGTGGAAAAACACGTTGGTTTGGTCAGGCCGACGGTGACCAAATTTTCGTGAGGAGGGTTTGGTAAGTACGCTTCCAACAACCAGAGAAACTAGAGGCGTTCCCGACGCGTAGAAGGCTGCAGGCAGAAGCCTGAGGATCAGGATGCAGCAGTCGGGGAAATCCTCCGCACCCTGGGG